GGGCTACTGGCTGAAGCCCACCTGGTCAGGGGTGACCAGCACTGGCATCCTCCATCTCGGGCTGGCTGGCGGGACAGAACTTGGTGCCCCCCCCAGGAGACCCTCACAGGACCCCAGAGAGAACTCGCTCTGCTTGGGAGCAGAGGCCTTCTCCTGAGAGCTTACCGGCCGCTTATCTTCATTTGCCCACCAGTCCCAGTCCAAGCAGTGGGTCGGGCACTTTGCACGCCTGCTTACAACTCCTCCCCTCTTTTATGACAAACGCCGGAAGACGCCGCACACAGAGCCAGGCCATGGGTCCAGCTGCTGCATGGAGTGAGTTGCTTAGATCTTGAGTCTGCCACTCAACATGTTCCCCCACATGCAAACACACACTCACACATACAAACACACACACAATATTTTATGAAATGCCTTCCTGCCGGGCACAATGTTGCAGACAGGGCCTATCTCTGCCTCTCTGGGGGATGATGGGACTTGAACCCAGCACCAGCTGCATCCGCAGCAGGTGCTGTTCCCTTCCCCCTTTGGCACCAAGCGGATGGGTGGCCCCAGCAGAAGCACCACCGTCACTGGAAGGATCCACGCAGGCCCCATGGCTGCTGCTGCCCCACAAGTGGATGACGGGGAAAGCTGCTTCATCCGCAGAAGGGAAACTTTCTCTTCCAATAACTGGGGGGGCGAAGACCATGAAGGGGTGAAGTAAAGCACCAATCAGAATTCTCCCCCGTGCAGTGTCATCAGCCTCTGGGCAGAGGGAGCCTGGCTTTGTCAATACAAAGAAGATTGGTTTTCCCTGGAAAGGGAGGCAGTGCAAGCTTTGTATTTAAGCCTGGGGGGGGGGCTTAATCAAGACCCCCCCCCCAGTTCCCCTCCTGCCAGGCTGGCAGAGATGCAAGTCAGGGGGTGGGGGTGAGCAGGAGACCTTTGGAGCAGGGAGGGGAAACAGCAGGTCTGCTATTTGGAAAAGGTCTTTTGTGAGACCCCCAGAACCCCATGAGCTGGGGGTTGGGATTTTTAGAAAATGGAAGACTGCCAAGGGGGTCAGTGTATCCCCCACCTCAGTGGGCTGCTCTTCCGGTGGGGCTGCTCCCCCAGGCTGCCTCCTCCCGGTGCTCTTCTCAGACTGGATGCATTTGGGATGGATCCAGACCCTGCTTCACCAAGCAAGCTGGGCAGTGGGTTGGGGGTCACATGGTGTCGTGCGCATGCACTCAGAAGGGTCCCTTTCACATGCACAAGAGGAGGAAACTTCTCATGAGAACCAGAATGTGGAAGAAGAGCTCCTTCTGGTGCCAGCGGAAACAACTCTGCTCCCCACTCTCACAGGTGCTGAGAGTAAGAATGGGTCAGATGAGGAGGTGCAAAGAGAAGACCAAACAGGGATGCGAGAACAGGGCACTTGGGGAGTAAACTTAAAAACAGACTCTCAGTCTTCTGACATGGAGTGAGAACCAAGGCGATAAAGGACAGGGGGGGGGGGGGGGGTGAGGATGCTCCTTCTCGCAGGCACATGTGCGACTGGGATAGCTGTAATCCAGACTGACTGAACGAGGAAAAGGGAAGAGTCCCAGCGCTCCACCCATGAAGGGGCGGCCAAGAAGGGTTCATGAACCAGTGTGGGCTGAACTTAGAAGGAGGGAAGAGCTTCCTCTCCTGCTTGGACAGGACGTGTAACACTGCTTAGAATGGAGACATTTGTAGTTTCAGTTGGAGCGACAGCTTCTGCTTGGAAGGAGCGCCAGCTGCATGGCACTTTTGAGTGAATGCGTTTGGACTCCCTATTGTATTTCGCTCCTCAATATCGTAAGATAAATGGTGGGAGAAAGTAATTGGGATGTTCTCATCCATCTCGGGCTGATTTGCAAGGGTTTCTTCCGCTCAGTGCTTTAACAGAGGCAACCAGAAAAGGGGGTTCCTTTCCCTAATAGGAGTTAAAGTTTCTCACTTCTAAATCACACTCATCCTGTCCCATCCAGAAAACGAGTTCCAGAGTGTGGCCAATTTCATGGATTGGGCCAACAACATGTTGAGAAAGCCCCATGGCTCTCATAGAAGCCATGAAGTCGTGAGCCACCCCGGTCAGAACAGTCTCGATGAGGAAATGGAAGTACCCCAGGACCAGCATCCTGGGGCTCCTCAACACCAGGTCCGAGAAAATTTCCATCAGTTCAGGTGGGGAGTCTGCTGGGCAGGAGGGTGCCCGGTACACAAGCAGAGTCCCTACTCGGTCTTGGCCGCCCAATGCCAGGTACAGGCACTCCAGGCCCGGTCTCAAGGGAAGTTGAGGCTCGATGAAAAGGGATGACCCCGCCTCCCCTTCCCTCAAGGCGAGGCTGGTGGTGCACCAGATATCTGGGCTGGCATAGCTGGGTAAGGGAAGCAAACACACAACTCCCTCCCAAGTCTCCGTGATACATGCCAGGTCAGGCCCCTCGTCCACGATTAAATCACGGATGAGAGGTGTTTTAGTGTGGAACGAGCTGGCATTCAGCAGCTGCTCTGTCAAGCCTGAGAGCCAGTTGACCTGACTGCCTGGAACCTTCGGGTTGGGGGAACAACCAGAAGAAGGGGCAGAAACCAAACTTTGGTTCCACCTTCTCCTATGATGGCACATTAGACCCCCAATGGAATATCTTCCCCTGCCCACTACCACCTCAATACTGGTGCCCACACACTCCCCAGGTAGTCACAGAGTGATTTAAAATCACAACAGTAACACTCAAGGATTAGTCACAATACAGATAAAAACCCAGTTATAAGCCAACCAAACAACAAACCCACTCTCAGGAAAAAGACTGAGCAGAAGCCCAGGCCAAACCTGACCTTCCCGGCCCTGAATTACCCCAAATCAACTCTGCACCCTTTGGCCATCACCCTTGGGCTGCCAAACAGTGAGATAAATGCTGGGTCCCTGCCCCGCAATCAGCCTCTGCCCACTAGCACAGATTCCAGCCACACCATGGGACGAGCCACTGAGGATGAAGCCTACAGAGGACTCTCCAGAAGCAAGATGGTGGGAGCAGCAGCATAAGCAGCCCATCCGTGGCATCAGTAGCCTCAGCAGAGTCTGCAGCAGCACCTGCAGTGGCGGGTGGGTCAGCGGGGCTGGGACTGTGGTGCAGGCCAGGCCAGGCCAGGATCACCAGAATGCAGGCAAGCACACAGGTACACAAAGAAGGTGCTGGGGGGGATCCACTGGGGGACCATGTGGAAAGCACCCCATATCAAGAAACTGGGAAGGCCTTGCCCCATGGAGAGGCCCATGGGTCACTTCACGGAAGGGTTTTGGCAACCCACGCTGGCCTGGGAGGAGTAAACAGGGTCACACCATCCTTTTCCCAATGGAGCCTCCTGCTCTTCCTGCTTATTCCCAGGCTCCTAGACTTGGGGTACGTGCATCTCAGCTCCTTCCCACAGATCCCTTTCTTTGGGTCCCTGCCCCATTCTTCCCATCTTCTCCGATTGCCCCCCCCCCTTCGGAGGAGTCCCGCCTACCGCTGCAGTGTCTCCAAATCCCTGGATGAAAACCCTGGCCCTCTCCCCTCACTTGCACCATCAGGACATGTTTCTGGGGGGCCTGAACACCCCCCGGTGAGGATGACCCTGCGACACGTCCAGAAAAACGTGAGCAGACGCTCTTGCGTGCCCTTCCAGGCTTTCCCTGCTGCGTCTTTGACAAAGGCCCAGACCACCTGCCCTTTTCTGCCTCGCTCTTGCGCAGCCTCTGCTCGGGGTGGACACGCTGGTATTCCAGGTGTGCATTTCACGCGCGGTGCTTTAATTGGTGCAATAGGCCACACAGAAGGGCTGCAGCCCCTTGGGACAAACAAAACCAGGGCAAAGCAGATCCGGTCCCCTGGGAAAGTAAAACCTGGTGCCCTATGCCCTGCCCAGCGGCAGCCATGTCCCATACCCCGTGTCCGGTCACCCCCGGCACCTGCAGCCACCACCTTGCCTCCCACCTGCTCCTTTGCTCGAGAGAGTAGACAGCCAAGGACAGACCCAGCCTCCTCATGAGCTTCCTGCTGCCAAAGAATGGCGGCTCGAAGCCAAGCTGGGCTGAGGCTCCTGAGCGTCAGGCCTCCTGATCTGAGCTTGGACAGAGGGGCACACATGGTCTGCACCCTGAGGTTTGATGCCTTCAAGGGGGAGCTGCGTGTTGCCAGGACTGCAAGTTACCCCTCTGGTGTCACCCGTGGCCAGTCATGTGCCACACGGCAACAGATCGGAGGTTGGAAGGAACGAAATGCTTCCAGGGGAGCCACTGCCAGTCCTGGAGCTCCGACGTGAGTGCCCATGGGATGCGGCGTGTCCGTCCCACTAGCCCAAGGCACATTCTTGGGCCCCAAACCGCACGAGGGAGTTGGGGAGATGCTGGCAATGGCCCCCAGGAGGGACAATCCAGAACAAAATCCCTGCCAGAGCTAGGCTCTGGTTCCCCCTGCAAAAAAGGGGCCATTTGAGTGACATGTTTTGCCCCTGCTGATCAACATCTCCCCCTTTGTTCTTGTGTGGGGGCTGAAGATTATTTGGGGCAGCCTTGATGACCTCTGCAGCCCCATTGCCCTCCCAAGGGGAACCCCACTCCAGGGCTCAGCTGAAAAAAAAGCATGGGGCAGGGGTGGACCTCACAGCTTCATCCTCTCCAGGAAGCGGTGCACTTCCCACACAATTTCTGAGGGCACCCCAATTCTCCAAAAGGACACATGGGCCCCCTGATAGAGTAGGGGAGGACCCGGTTGGGAAAGGCTGCATAGGACACAGAGAGCAGCCTTTGGACAGCTCCAGGCACGGCTCCATCCACCCGCCTCCAGCACTGACCGGCAGCCTCTGAATGGGTTCAGCCTTTCCAGGCAGGCCCAGAGAGGCTGCCAGGGTTAGAACCCAGGACCTGCAGTATGCCAAAGGGGGCTGTACCACAGTGGCACAGCCCTCCTCCAAACAGAATATCGTACTCATTTTCATGTCATCAAACCAGATTTTCAGATTTTTCGCCATTCCAGCAAGAACAGAATTTATTATATCTCCATTCAATGAGTGCAAAGCCAGCCTGCAAGTGTGACTGAAGCTTTCAGAATTGCAAGCCCTGGAATTGAAGATATTCTGGGGAACGCGGAAGCTGGCCAGGAGCAACTCAGCGCTGTCCCCGTCAGGAGGGACAGCGGTGCGGGTGAGGAGGGAACGGGTCCTCTCTCAGCCCTTAACCAGAAACCTGGGCCTCCACAGGATGAGGCCCAACCAAGAGAAAAAGTCTGGCCCTTGAGCCACAGACCACGGAATATGGGCAGGCGTTTTCTGGGCGCTGGCAGGATGAGTCCCACTCCACCACCCCCTGCCCACCGAAGCAAAAGCAGGCAGAAAATCAGTGAATGTCCAGCTGGTCCTTGCGGGAGCGGCTTCAGCTGAGCTTCTCCTCCTCGTTCCGATCCGCAGCTTCCAGCCCCTTCGCCTTCGCATCTCCCAAGGACAGCACAGAAAAGCGGAGCTCCAGCAGGAAGTATTTGGGTGTCTTCTGCTTTGCCTGGCCTTGGAGGACTAGCCGATGAGCACTGAGGAGAATGGGGGGGAAGGGGGAGGAGACACGGAAATTGCAGGGGGAAATGGAAATAGGAAAAGGAAAACCCAGGCTGGGAAAGGGCCCGAGGGAAAGAGGGTGGGGGCTGCTGACTCCTTCAGGGGCTCCTACACCCAGCCCCCTCCACTTGCAGCCCCACAAGAACACCCCAACCCAAGCTGATGGCCCCCCACGACGGCTTGCACTCCAGCTAGGGGGCTACTACCAAAGTGGGGTGGAAGCTGCCCACTCACACCCCAACCCTGCGATCTTCTGCCGCCCCCCAAAGCCACCCCATTTCCACAGACAGACCCTAAGGGAGGCCCAGAAAGAGTCTCTCTGTAGGTCTCAGCCTGTGCATTGAGGGCTCAATTTGGGGGTGCGACAGGAGCAGAGCAGAAGCAAGAAGGGTGGAGCAGGCCAGTCCCTGCCGGGGCAAAGTCTGGCTGCACTTCTCTCCTGTGTCTGAGCACTGCAAAAAAGCCCCGTCACTGGCCGTTGTGTTTGCAGCTCAGGCCTCTTTCCCCCGACTGCAGCCCACCCCTGAAAATGAAATATTTCTGCAAAAAGTGCCCCAATTTATCGGGGGGGGGGCCTTCAGACTTGCATCCCCACTGTGGACAAGCATCTGGGGAAAGGCAGGATGGAAAAGTGGACCAGCGACTGGGAAGGAGGCAGGGAGAGGCTTTACCTGGAGGCTGCTGGATGGCAGACGCTGGAGAGAGAGGGAGAAGGGGAAAGAGACTTTAATGCATGGCCGGAGGGGCTCATTCCTCAGCACCGCAGGGACACCCTCCCCTCCTGCACCCAGAAAGGCTCCTGAAACCAAAAAGTTGGCGTAGTCTTAACTTGGCTCAGTCTAAATCCCATATTTGTGCAAAACAGAAACTGCCTTCCCAGGAAAGCTGCTGTACTGAGACGGCCACTGATTTGGAGGGGGGATTTCTAGCCAATTCGCTCACGAGGGACTCCTGGTCTTTAGGGAGACAGGAGGGCAGTGCAGCTGGGGACCCCCCTCCTGTGTCCCTCGATGCCCCCACGAACTTGCCTCAGATGTGGGGAGGGCCCAACTTCTGGAGTGAAGAGTCCCCCCACCTTCATGGAAAGGAACCAAACTGATCCAGGAGCACCTCTGAGGGCGTGGACATGCATCTCGTTAACAGGGCCTGCCCTCCCTGGTGCCCTACAGGGACCCCTTACCTTTCTTGCTCCTCAGGTAGAGGGAGAGCCCCACAGCCAGGTAGACCACACCCAGCAGGGCCCCCATGACCCCCGTCCACACTTTGCTCCTGGCCAACTCGGAAGTCCGCGGCTCTGGAGAAAGAGAAGGGGAGTCTCACGTGGGAGCAGGATCGGGGCCAGGCTGGGCCTCTCATCTGGGACTGACTGGGGGCCAAGTCCATGCGCAGCAGATGAGGATGGGGACTTTCCAGGCCCACAGCTGATATCTAGGGCACTGGTTCAGATTGCGAGGTCCGCGTGGCTGAGGTTGCATTTCCATCCATCATGGGCAGGGCAGCCCCAGACTGGAGTACAGGGAGGAGGCAAGTGTGGGGCTGGACGTAGCTCCAGAGAGAACAAAAAGGGGGAAATGGGGCTGAAAACATCCCTTCCGGGGGGAGACATTTAGCTGCCGACTGATCTCCTCTGCTCCCTCCTAAGAGGCCACCCTTCCCCCAATCTCCTTAGGCCCCTCCTTTCCTTCCCCCAATCCACCCTCAAACCCACCCAGTGCCCAGGAGTGCCCCACAGAGGGAAGGGGGACAAGGGCCATACCCCACTGCACGGTGATGGGCGTCTCCAGGCTGGCGTGCTCCACCTGGCAGGCGTAGACGTCTCCACGCTGGGGGGTGTCCTCCAGCATCACCTGGGTCTGGTACGTCCAGTCGCCGTTGTGCAGCTCCTCCCCATAGAAGACCCCCTCCGTTGCCCGTCGCCCGTTCTTCAGCCAGCGGACCTTGAT